TTCGTTCTTTCTTTCGTTCTTTCTTTCGTTCTTTCTTTCGTTCTTTCTTTCGTTCTTTCTTTCGTTCTTTCTTTCGTTCTTTCTTTCGTTCTTTCTTTCTATATTTTAAATGGATTTTATTTTACAAGTTATTTTGTTTAAGAATGTAGGCATTTAGGAAGGTACACCACTTCGACTTACTAATGTCTTAAAGCTGTTTTATGATGAGAAACGCCCTGAAGTACCTAACATTACAGAGTTTCTCTTATGTTTTGAATTATTTTACAGTTTATTTATGTTAGGAATGCACAGTATGTGTGGTACAATATTTCAACCTGTGTTTGTTTTTTGTTCTGCACAAGAAATGTCTGAAGGAGCCCAACTCTAGTTTTAGCCTTGATTTCTATGGGAACCTATAATTCATTTAGTAATTTCACTTACAGCCACAATTTTCAGGAATGCAACAACTTTAAATAAGGAGTTACTGTTTATATTTTATGCCCTGTGTAAGATGTAGACTTTTGAAAGTCATCACTTACCTGAATATGACATGCGATGTTTGTTTCTTTTTAGATCCAGTCAAAGAATTTGACTGTGCTCCGTGGCCTGCTGTCCAAAGTTTAATTGATGATTGTTTGAAGCAAAACCCTGAGGACAGGCCAACAGCTTCTCAGGTAAGAGTTTACAAAAATAGCATATTAATGTTTAAACCAAAATAATCTGCAAATAATAATGTGCATCCATCTGCAAATGGAGGTTGAATGAAATATTATCCAATACAGATACATCTGTGCAATATGTCATTTATAAAATTAATGTAATAGTGATTCATCTTGAAGGTATTATCTGTACAGTGTACAGCTGGCAGTACTTTTGTTGAGGCAGTTTTGTTCTTCATCATAATCTTTTCATCAATGCAGAAGCCCCCCTCTTGGTCACATCCATAAATGGTGAGGAAACATGTATCATTACACCTGGATTCTGCATCTAGTAACTTTGACATGCCAAATGGACTTTACCTCACTTGGCTTTTTTTTTATATTCTTAAATTCCAGAAATAAGCAGTGATCCAAAGAGGCAATAATGACGAACTGATCTGGCTGGGAAACAGTTCAGTTATTTTGAGAATAAAGACAATGACAAAGTGTCAGCTGTCTAAGGAGAAACTATCACATTTTCACAGTCACTGCTGCCAAAACCACACATTATTCAATTACATCTCCATTTGAAATTACATTTTGTTTTTTTTTTTATTTCAATATTACATGGCTGTATTATTTGTATGTAATGAGTTATGTGATTGAACTAAACTTGTGTGAATGAATAGATGGTTACGGCAAGCTCCTCAATCAATATACACAAAGGTGTCAATCTTATTCAATGAAGTTTAATGCATTCTCCCATTGTGAGTTTGGTCATATTTAAGCAGATGGAATGGTGGCAGTTGGAGACTTCATAAGAAGGGGAAAGAGGGGCTTTGCCAGCTATCCAGCCAGTCAAAGAGACCCTATCATCCAGGAGTCTTAATCACATATCATTACAATATTTGTTTAAATTTCCTGTCAGCTACCCCTGATGGTTCTTGCAAACATGATGTTTTAGGGTGGGCAATGAGAGAACTTGTCTTACAGAATAATTTTATTGAGATGTTTCAGTTTTTAAAAAAATGCTTTCAATTTCTTGGCTCTAATGAGAGAGGCTGAGGTCACCAATCCATTATTGCCAAAATAGAGGACAAGGTATAACTAGTCATGGATGAAGACAGCTGTTTAAAATATCAATTATGAAGACATTGAATAGACTTGATTTTAGGATAACAGGATATGATAATTAATTTATTGGCATTCAACGTTACATTTTCACCCTCATTCATTGGGCAACTAACAGACTTTACAAATCTATCTCATTTTTGTTTTGATAGTGGTGATTTCAAATTGGCTCAATTCCCAAATATGCTTCTGTTTCCTCCAGTAAATCAGTTGAATTGAACTTTTACATTATTTTTACTGAGTGGGTCTGGTTTACATTAGAACCAGTTGAAACCTTCATTTATCTGATTGCATGATTGTTTGGTCTAAAAAGAATTCTTGGCAACCAGCAACTAAATTATTACTTTACTTCCTCATTTAGTCAGACATTTCTGTTATATCAGCAATGAGATCCTGTTTTCTGTCTGTCCTGCAAACAGTTGATGTTTTCTATAAAGTCAGCTTGACAGAATTGAAACACAAAGTTGTAACATCATGATTCTAGCCACACTTACGTTGCTAACCACACAATCAAGGCAAATGAAGAAGCGGTAGATGAGCAGCAGTAGACTTCAAAAATCATTTCACTTTATTTGGAACTGCTTTGAGCCACTTAAGAAATGAAGTAAAACACTATAAATGATTTGCCTGTCTTTTCTTCATGACCTATAAAATTACACATTGGTCTGAGTTTTTAGTAATCTCAAAATTTGATTGGGTGAACATCTGAACCTGAGAATTCAGGAATGAGTAGAGGGGATTGGAAGACTCCTTTTGGGAGTGATTGAAGGCTGATGATGATTTGGTCCCCTGTGAGGTAGAAGGATGGCAAAGCTCAGTAGCCTGAAGTTGGGAATGTTTGAGATTTGTTGGCAGCGTCAGAGGCTGGATGGGGATTGCAGACTTTCAGGGAGGCTTAGGAGATAGGTTGGAATGTGGTCAACAACAGAAGCTCCTCATGCCAGCTGGATCCAGGAGATTGGTGTAAAGGCAATTATGTGTTGAATCTGCCAAAATTTTGTTTAGCTAATTCTGATGAAACTTGGCAAACCTAGTTAAAGTTAAAAAGTACAATAAGAATGAGATTTGATATGAATGTGCAGTCAAATCAAATCTGCATTACTTCCTTACCATGTTTTGTGTGCAGTTAAACAAAGTCTGCACCTCACCATGTGGTAGATTTCTCTCACAAACCCTTCTTAAGTATCACAATTTGCAGGATCTAGTGAGATAAAAGAAAATCACTTCCTTGTCTAACTAGAAGGGGCTCTTGTGTCGAACAAAATGTTTGTTTCATGTTGGCAGCTAGTTGCAAGTTGTATTGATATGGTTGACGTTGTTACAGAGACGATAAACAGGCCTGGGATATTGGTCTCACTCCTTTGAAATCATTAACTATTCTGCTTGCTAATCTATATGAAATCATCATAGTGGTTGATCTTAAGGTGCTTCTCAGAATTTACTGTTTCAAACCCTTCTACCCTTGCACAACAATACCCAATCTCATTATCAGATATAACCTGCGTCCTTGAAACTGGTAGATTGTCCATTGACTTGATCTTCTTTGAAGCTGGAAATGGGCATATTGCAGATGGCTTTGGTTTAGGAAACAAATGTCTTAGACTTTAATCCCCCCCAGATGAGTTCTTCCAAGGTTAAATTCCTGCCATTGGGTGGAATTAACCTGTGCATCATTACATAATTATGATTGGTCTGTTTTATTGAAACTTTCAATTGATATCACTGGCTTTTGAATCTTTCTATTTTTGGACAGATTTTGCTAATATTTCTTACAAATAAATGTTCTTTTATTTCAGCAGATTTAGGTTTTAACTCTAGGGGTGAGACAGTATTCCTATTTGTTGCAGGGCACCATCTGGCCTCTTCTTAATGCACATAATTCCAGAGCACGAAGCTTATCAAAATATGCCACAAAATCGAGCATCTCTGAGAGGCAGAAACTTGCTTTGTTGAAAGGAAGTTGTACTCCTGTGTTTAGGGTTAAAATAAATTACAGGATCAGATTGGACACATCTTTAATTTCCTTGAGTTATACGATATCTTGTTGGCAGTCCTGTCCAGCTCATTAATTTAGAGACAAAAGAACAGCAGCATGCCATACACACATACTGTTATAGAATATGGAATTTGGGCGGCACGGTGGCTGAGTGGTTAGCACTGCTGCCTCACAGTGCCAGGGACCCGGGTTTGATTCCACCCTCGGGCGACTGTCTGTGTGGAGTTTGCACATTCTCCCCGTGTCAGCGTGGGTTTCCTCCGGGTGCTCTGGTTTCCTCCCACAGCCCAAAGGTGTGTAGATTAGGTGAATTGGCCATGCTAAATTTCCCTAGTTTAGGTGGGTTATAGGGGGATGAGTCTGTGTGGGATGCTCTGAGGTTCGGTGTGGACTTGTTGGGCCGAAGGGCCTGTTTCCACACTGTTGGGATTCAATTCTAGTCTATGGAAATGCAGGGCTGGTCCCTCCACTACAAAGAGAGTATGAAAGAAGGAGTCTTCACTGGATCACTGCTCCCTGATTACCAAACCAAGAGCAAATCAGAGGCCCAGGCGAAGGCACTGGGAACATGGGTTCAAATCCCCCTAGAGCAGCTGTTGGAACTTAAGTTTGATTCATATGTTTGGAATATAAAGCTGGACTGAGTAATGGTGACCATGCTAACTATTATCAATTATTGTTAAAACCCATTTGGTTCACTATAAGGTGCAGGGCTGGATGAACATAATGCTGCTTGGCCCGCTGTGTTCATCCAGCCCTGCACCTTGTTGTCTCGGATTCTCCAGCATCTGCAGTTCCTACTATCTCTGGTTCACTATAATGTCCTTTTAGTAAGGAAATCTACCATCTGGCTTACATGTGACACCAGATCCACAGCAACATGGTTGAATCTTAACAGCCCTCTGAAATAGTCTGGCAAGTCACTCATTTCAAGAGCAATTAGGAATGGACAACAAATGCTAATATTGTCTGCTACGCCTACATCCCGTGAAAGAATAAAAAAAAATTGTGGTTTGGGACAGGAAAACTGTTCTTCAACTTATTTCTTTCAACTTATTAGTATAAAGATTTCAAGAGATAGTTGGAGAGACTCCGTGAAAAAAATGTACTTTGAATACTTTCATTGTAAATGGCATCAAAAAGGTTAAACAATGTTGTCTCTCATTTTGTGTACTTATGCATCCTTTTTTCTTTAGGTGTATGAGACTCTGAACTCAGTGGAGCTACATTGTTTGAAGAGAAGGATGATAGTCCCTGGTAATCTCACAGCAGACTGCATGGTAGCTACAAGCTCTGTTTGCAAAAAGCCTAGTGTCTGGATTGGCAGTGGACAACAAGACAAGGCACAACTCTCGTGTTTAGAACTGGATACTGATGGACAGGCTGTTGTGGTATGTGAGGAAGTGTAATAATTCATGAGAAATAAGCTTGAACTCCCATAAGGAAAATAAACCTTTGCTTAATAGAAAAATGTTTGATCTACTGACCTTATGGTAATGGTAGACTGCTGGGCCTTGAGTTTGTAGATTGTCCTCGAGTACAGTCTTGCTGCTACTGATGTCCCACAGTGCCTTGTACATGCCCAATCCTGAGTTGCTAGATCAGTTTGAAATCTGTTCCATTTTGCACAGTGGTAGTGCCACATATTGGCTCATCGTAGAATGTTTCAAATGAGTGAGTTGTTGGGAGTAGGATAAATAGTATTAAATCAGCAAGTTGTCAAAGAAGAAGAAACAGCAACAAGAAGGAGAAACAAATATAAAACAGCACACGGACTGCAACGATTCAAGAAGGCAGCTCACCACCATCTTCTTAAGGGCATTTAGGGACAGACAATAAATGCTGGCCAGCCAATGATGTTCACAGCCCATGTGTGAGGGCAAAAAAAAATAAGCATTAAACTGCCAGGTGAAAAAAATGATGAAATGATGAATGGTTTGGACAGAACAGAAATTGTCTCTCACTTTGCCAACTGCATATATGAAATATGAGAGATAAATAAGGAAGGAAGATATAAATAAATTTGTGAAATCAAGAAGCTGCAATATCTGCCAGGTAACGGTCACTGCGTTGCACTTTTGGCATCATGCTCATGCTGAGTGTTAAATTGTGAAAAAACATATCATTGAACAGAATGGTTCATCCCCATGATCAGCAAAAAATAAAAACAAAAATTGCTGGAGAAGCTCAGCAGGTCTGGCAACGTTTGTAGAGAGAAATCAGAGTTAATGTTTCGGGTCCAGTGACCCTTCCTCAGAACTGATGGTAGCTCGTAAAAAGTTGGTTTTTATGCAGAAGATAGGGTGGGGGCAGGGGGCAAGGAGTAAATGATGGCTGGAAATAGAGCCCAAAGAGAGAGCGCGAAGAACAGTTGGATAGATAAAGGATTGGATAATGATCAGCCTGGGTGAATGAATAGCTACTAATGTGGGATTATTATTGGCTAACAACGGGTTGTGTGTAATAGCAGACCTGGGAGAATGTGCCACAAGCCCTAAAATTGTTCAACTTGATATTGAGTTCAGAAGGCAGTAGAGTTTCCAAGTGGAAAATGAGGTGCTGTTCTTTCAGTTTTAGCAAAAAAAATTCTCTCAAGCTATTAACTTGTGTTTTAACTATAAGGGGTCAGAAAATTGATACTATAAATATTTTTCAGTGAAGGAGATGCTTATATGAAATGACAATGAATAAATGTGTCTTATTCTCATTGTTTCCCTCAATCAGCATTGATTTAATGTACCTTTTGTTCTAAATATTTTGTCCCTTGACCAGAACATTGAGGATAACCGGATTTTATGCCTGGCATTGGTATGTGTGATTGACGAGCAAGTTAACTGGGTTGTTGCAGGCACACAGTCTGGACATTTGTGGATAGTCAACACAGAGAATGTAAAATCTGTTCATCAACTTCGGAAGATGTCTGATTCTATTACTTGTTTGTATTGCACTCATGATTTGAAACAAAGGTAAATATCTACTTGAGCAGTTTTTAAAATGCTAAATGTGAGGGATTTGATTAACTACTGTGCTTTTTTTTAATCTAATCAAGTTAGTATAACAATCAGAATTTAGACTTCTTCCTAGGTTTTTATAAATATAGCAGGATAGATTGATATCTGGATATTATGTCAAATATGGATTTGGTATGCTGGGTTTCCCACAGGAGAGATTAAAGGCAAAAACTTTGCTGGAAGATTGAAGCGGATTGGAACACTTCTAATGAAGTTTGATCAGCAATTATTTTTAGTGAAAAACTATGCCATGATTCCCTATAATTATGCAGTGTCAGTGGTCCGGTAATTCTCTGTCTTTGAAACTGAATTATACAATCAAATATGAACAGAAACCTCAAAAATACGGACATCTTTTTTAAAAAAACTGATTGACAATCCCAAACAGCTTTGGTTAAAAACAACCCTTTGAAGCACTGAAGATATCCAAATTGTAATTTATGGATAGCCTAGTATCTTTGCAGCTGAAAACACTAGACACGCAGTGAATGTATGATGACAACAGGTTGTTAAAAAAAGAAGTTTTCGTATAATGCCGACTATTTTATCCAACATCCTTAGTGTGAGAAAACTCTTCAACCTATGCGACTGAATGCTTGAACAGCTCAATCAGAAAGGAGATTCTGAGAAATGGTGTTTACAAGCATTTTGGAGAGGCACGGACTGATTAGGGATAGTCAGAATGGCTTTGTGTGTGGGAAATTGTGTCTCAAACTTGATTAAGTTTTTTGAGGACATAATCAAAATTATGGAGGGCAGAGCGGTAGACATTGTTGACATGGACTTTCGTAAAGCCTTTAACAAGGTCCCACATGGTGGACAAATTGGTAAAGCTAGAACATATGGATTCGGAGAGAATGTGCCAATTGGATACAAAATTGGCTTGACGGTCGTAGTCAGACAGTGGTTGGTGGAGGCCTATGACCAGCAGTGTTCTGCAGAGATCGATGCTGGGTCCACCTTTGTTTGTCATTTATATAAATGATTTGGATGAGAATTTAGATCACCCCAAAATTAGTAGTATAGTCGACGGATTATCTAAGATTACCAAGGAATCTTGATGAATTAGACCAATGGAATTTAATTTGCATGAATGTAATTTGATTTGTGAGGGGTAGATCATGCCTCACAAACCCTATTGAATTCTTTGAAGAGGTGACCAAACACGTGGATGAAGGTAGAGCAGTGGATGTGGTATACATGGATTTAAGTAAGGCATTTGATAAGGTTCCCCATGGTAGGCTCATACAGAAAGTAAGGAAGCATGGGATAGGGGAAAAGTGGCAGATTGGATTCAGAATTGGCTGACCCATAGAAGACAAAGGGTGGTAGTGGACGGAAGATATTCAACATGGTGCTCAGTTACAAGTGGTGTACCACAAGAATCTGTTCTGGGTCCTCTTCTATTTGTGATTTGTGTAAATGATTTGGATGAAGGAGTGGAAGGGTGGATCAGTAAATTCTCGGACGATACGAAGGTGGGTCGAGTTGTGGATAGTGCAGAGGGCTGTTCTAGGTTACAAAGGGAAATTGTTGGGATGCAGAGCTAGGCTGGGAAGTGGCAGATGGAGTTTAACCCTGAAAAATGTGAGGTGATTCATTTTGGAAGGACAAACTTGAAAGCAGAATACAGGGCTAACAGAAAGATTCTTGGCAGTGTGGAGGAGCAGAGGGATCTTGGGGTTCATGTCCACAGTTCCCTGAAAGCTGCCACACATGTGGATAGAGTTGTTAAGAAGGCGTATGGTGTGTTAGCTTTCATTAATAGAGGGATTGAGTTCAAGAGCCATGAAGTTATGCTCCAGCTATACAAAAGCCTGGTTCGGCCACATCTGGAGTATTGTGTCCAGTTCTGGTCACCTCATTACAGAAAAGATGTGGAAGGGTTGGAAAAGGTGCAGAGGAGATTTACCAGGAAGTTGCCTGGAATGGAGGGAAGGTCTTACGAGGAAAGATTGAGAGAGCTAGGGCTTTTGTCTTTAGAACGACGAAGGATGAGAAGTGACTTCGTAGAGGTGTACAAAATAATCGGAGATATAGATAGAGCGGACAGCCAGTGACTTTTTCCTCGGGTGGAGGTAGCTATTACGAGGGGACTTAGTTTTAAAGTGAGTGGAGGTTGATATAGGGGAGACGTCAGAGGTAGGTTCTTTACTCAGACAGTGGTTGGGGCATGGAATGCATTGCCAGAGAGGGTAGTGGAGTCGACCTCATTAGAGGCATTTAAGTGGCTTTTCGACAGGCGTATGGATGATAGTATAAAGTAGGGGTGGAGATTAGATAGACCTTAGGTTTAGGGTATAAGTTTGGCACAACATCATGGGCCGAAGGGCCTGTACTGTGCTGTACTGTTCTATGTTCTGAATGCAAGGTATTGTATTTTGGTAAAACAAACAAGCCAGGACTTATGCAGTCAATGTTAGGACCTTGGGCAGTGTTGTCGAACAGAGAGACCTAGGGATTGAGATACATAGTACTTTGAAAGTTGCATCACAGGTAGACAGGATGTTTAAGGTGGTATTCAGCACACTTGTCTTCATTTCTCAGATCTGTGGATAGGAGTTGGGATGTTATGTTGAGGTTGTACAGGATGCTGGTAAGGCCTCTTCTGGAGAATTGTGTACAGTTCAGGTCACCCTGCTATAGGAAGGATGTTATTAAATTGGGGAAGGTTCAGAAAAGATTTACCAAGATGTTGCCAGGACTGGAAGGTTTGAGTTAAAATGATAGGCCAGGACCTTTTCCTGGAGTATAGCAGATTGAGGGGTGACCTTATAGAGATTTAGAAAATCATAAGGGGCATAAATAAGGTGAATAGCGAAGGCCTTTTCACTGGGCTGGGAGAGTTCAAAACTAGGTGCCATATTTTTAAAGTGAGAGGAGAAAGATTTAAAAAGAATCTGAGGGGCAACTTTTTTCACACAGTGGATGGTTCGTATATGTAATGTACTGCTGGAGGAAATAGTAGATGCAAGTACAGTTACAACATTTAAAAGACAATTGAATAGGTAAAAGAATAGGAAAGGTTTAGAGAGATACGGGCCAGACACAGGCAAGTGGGACTAATTGAGTTTAGGAAACTTGATTGGCATGGACAAGTTGGACCTAAAGGATCTGTTTCCATGCTGTATGACTCTATGACTCTAAGTTGTTCGTCTGCAGTAATGCTGGGTGAAAAACATCAATTGCACTAATGCTGGAAATTACATCGAAAGACCTGTGCTGTCTCAAAATGGCTCTTGGACCTCCAGGCCACAAGCTGCAGAGGATTTACCTAGCAAATCATCAGATTAAATTTCCTGCCACAATGCAAACCTTCCAAATGTTACCTGATCATGGCTACATCTAGGAGGGAATTGGAAGTTCAAGAATTTTTAGTAGTGATGTTCCGAAGGGGGTCCACAAAATAGTCTTAGCATTCAGTGGGGAAGTTTGAAATTGGGAGTAGAGGATCTTTCAAATTGGGTTACAGGGAATCCTGCGTTTGAAGAGATTCTAAGCTTTGAGGTACGCAAAAATCAGAGCTGGACAGTCGTTGAAGTTATGGATTTGGGAAGGGAGGCTGGGAGAGAATGGGGGCGCAGGGTGGTGTCAGGGAGTACAAGACAAAGTAAAAAGAATGGGCTAGAAGACTGGAGATTGCACCTCTAACAGGGGTTAGACACCAGGTTTTAGCAGGGTAATGAGGGTGTAGGACCAATCAGGAAGGGAGGAGAAAGGTTCATTTTTTAAACTTTGGACCATGGGAATCCTTCATCACATGTTTCCAATCTAAAATGCTATTAAGGGCAAAACAGATGAAAATGGGTGCCCATTATGAAGGCAGCTACTTGGGAGTAAAGCTCTGGTCCAAACCCAATTCAAAACAAGCCAGTAATTGGTGAGAGTGGAGAAAACATAAATCTTACAAGTCCACCAGCACATCAGACACTGATAAGTTGGTGCTCTCAAACACCATACCCACCTCTCCACACTTCAAACATTTGCAGTTGTGACGCGCAGAGGGATAGTGTCAAGGCTGGAGTCAGTAGGACTTCATTTCTTTCCAGTTTGGCTGTAGTCTGCAATGCACTCTGTCCCTACAAAGGCCACTCACCTGATTCAGGTGCTAATGCAGTAGATTCTAGGACAAGAACATCTCTTGTTCAATGAGATAAGACCCTGTGATGCAATGAACCAAAAAGTCAAATGAAATGGGAAAATGAACTGAAATCACTTCCCACTGTCAGAGTTCCAGAATTAGATATGATCCCTGTAAGAGATTTAAAAAAGATTTCTGCAGGAAATTTTTAAATAATTTATTTGCGGGATGTGGATGTGAATGTCCTGGCCAGGCCAGCATTTATCACCCATCCCTAATTGCCCAGCCAGCAGTTAAGAGTCAACCAGATTGCTGAGAGTCTGGAGGCATATAGAAGGTGAGGATGGCAGATACCTTCCTTAAAGGATATCAGTGAACCAGATGAATTTTTCAATGATCGACATTGATTTCATGGTTATCATTAGATTCTTTATTCCAGATTTGATACAATCAATCAAATTTAATACAACCAACCCTGGGATATCAGGCCAATCAAGTTCACTACACATACGTTGATCGTTTTGGTAATAAGGACGCTGGCAAATCCCTTGGTACCTTAGATGACTTAAGTTGCAGGTCTCATGGTTTAAAAAAAAAACCGGATACAGGGTACATTTAACACGGTTATATGTATTTTGTATCTACTTCCCAGACTTTCTAGACCTGAGAAATACCATTGAAAGGAATAGAATTCTTCTTTTAGACTTGGGATATAGGAGTCACTGGTTTGGCAAGCATTATTGTCAATCCCTTGTTGTAATACTTGCCCTTGCCTCTGTAATAGGGTGCCACATACATTCTGCAATACTGCCTGATGGAAAGACATTGAAAATGGTGACTATACATACTCATCAAAACATTTTCTGTTGTTCCTAGCAAAGAAGACAATTTCCTATTGGTGGGGACAGCAGATGGAAAGCTTGCTATTTTTAAGGATACAACAGTAAAGGTAAATTTACCTTTCATCAAAATAACGCAAACCTTGTGTGTAAATACTAAAAAGCAATTTATGAATTATGATTCAACCCATGTTATCTGATTTTATCACACGAAAATTTTGATTCAACTTCATTCCCAGCGTTGCCTTTCTCTTTGAAAAAGAAAATTCTCAAATGTACTGTTGCATGCCAAATCCATTCCCTCTTTCCTGTGACTCTACATTTGAGTATCTTCAATCTGGTTTCCACAACATTAAAATAACCCGAATAAAAGTCACAAATTATATCCTATGTGACCCCTATGACAGTGGTAAACTACCTTTTTTATCCTTGTTAGTTGGTGTGCAGCCTTTGATATGGTTGACCACACCATTCTCCTCCAATGCATTTCCTCCATTGTCCAGTTATGTGGGAGTACCCTCATCTTGTTTCATTTTTGTGCAAGAATTGTTAGCTATTACAGACCAATCCAGAGAGCCATCTGCATTTTTTTTTTATTGCGACTCTCGCCCAGTTAACTACTGCAAAACCTTAAGACAGCTATCAAAACTCTTTCCTATTTCTCACCTACAAGCCACTCTTCAATGACATTACCTATAAAATATAATGTCAATTTGCAACAGTACACAGACATCACCTCATCGCTACCTCTCTTGGCCACGTGTCCCTGCCCCCAACTGCTCTGATTTGCCAGACTGTTCGTCCAACATTTAGTTCCAGATGAGTAGCACATTTTTCCAACTAAATTTTGGGGAGACAAGATCCATTATCTTTAGGTGTTCTGTTGCTGAAAATCTCATCCATTCTATTGTTAGTTCTGAACTTTGCTCTTCTGGCCAACTTGCCATCTTCCATCCTCTGTAATTTTGAATTCATCCAAAACTTCACAACCTGTATTCAGGAACAGATTTGCCCATTGTTCCTCTTATTGCTGACCTGCTTTGACTCCCAGACCATTAAAGCCTGAATTAAATATCTTCATCCTTTTAAAATCCCTCCTTATTTCTGAATCCCCTTCAGTGCTATGTGCCTGTCAGGTCTCTGAACTCATCCAATTTGATATGTTGTACATCCCTTATTTTATGCACTTTGTCATTATTGATCATGCCTTCAGTAGTGTAGACTCTAAACTCTGGAATTCCTTTGCTGGAGTTCTTCTGCAAGTCTTTTTACACTCCCGTCTGCCCACTTCTCATCTACCACCTTCTCTCCCTTGCTTCTCTTCCCCATCCTCCCTTTACCACCTTTTCTGACACTTGTCCTGATATTCCTCTCATTTGAAGGCAGACCATACCAGTTTACTCAGAATGCACTTTCAAAGTATGTATTTATTAGTCTCAGTAATACTGGCAGAAACACTCCAAACAAACAAATACAAAAGTTTTATTTATATTTATTTGGACAGTCCTCATATCAATGTAAAACTTCACTTAGAACAAATCTTGGTCATTTTGATGGTGTACTTGTATGTCTGTGTTCATGTAGGTTCTTCTTCTGAGTGGTTTACAAAACCAGCAAGATTAATTGTAGTATATTGTAACTGCTTCGTCAAAGAGGTCTTGTGGCCTCCAAATACATGAATCCAAGGATATTCAACCAAAATGTTTGAAACTGTGTGATCCTAAACTTAAAGCACCACAAACGGTAATTAGTACTTTATTCTGATCTGACAGTACCAAGATGGTGCACCACTGAAGGTTGTGGACATTGGTGACATCAGTACCCCTTTGGTATGCTTGAGCATATCACCCACTTCAGAACTGATAGCTTTTTGGGCAAGCTGTGGAACAAAGATCATATCACTCAGCAGCAATTTTACGGTTCAGAAGGTGATAGACACAAACACAAGGACTCTGTAAGTTATTAGATTCTTTGCCTAGTTTTGGAGATTTTGACCTTATTGATATAAATTTAATTTTTTTGGTTTCCATGCAAGTGTATAAACTGATTATTTTCAATGGCTTTTTCATCTCCATTTTTAAATGAATTGATAAATATGGCAACTTTGTCATGTGTAAGTGATGGTTGTCATCTTGTCCTATTACTGCAGCTTTCAGAATGAATCTGTTTCTAATAAGTTTAACATTTTTTAAAAAATTGATTCACTTCTTATTCGAAAGTTTGATCGTAAAATGTGACAGAATCAGGTGAAGGATAATAACTATTCTGCCCACTTATCTGGACATGTGCAATGTTCTAGTCAACTGAAAAGTAAATAGTCATTTTGTATGACCCAGTAACTCCTGGGTTTTGTGAGGAATAGGCTAAAGTTAATAGTCTTAAATTTATTTTACACACATCTTGAAAAGAATACCAATTAAGAATGTCCTTTTAAGAAGGGTTTCAACTTACCAGGCTTATTAACAATAACAGTCAATTTAGTTGAAAGGTAATGAGAATATTCTGCAGTTTCTGTTCTTTGACAGAGAGATGAAGTAAGTCTTGTCCCTTTGTGATTAATCACATTTGACTATGGATGGGGTTATACTTTGAGTTTAGCACACTTTAAAGTTGCTACAGGATTAAATCCTTACTTGTTTTTGCAGTTGAATAATTCTTTGGAGTCCAACAGCTTCAAGGTACAAAAGTTGGAAAGCAAGATGCTATTTTCAAAAAATAAAGAGAGACTGACAATTAAATTTTGACTAGTAAAGCAGAACCTTGTCAGGAAATTTCCATAATCACTGGACCTGCTTCAATAAGATAAACCTCGAATTCTGCAACTTTTGTGTTGGTTGGTAAAATGAGAGGGTCATGGGATAGAGTCAGACACACCAATCTCAGAACAGCATAGACATTCACAGGGACAGGCAAGCATTGAGGCGGACTGGTTAGAAGACCACCTTGGTTCCTCACAATTTTGTCCCTGTTGCTTTTGTAGTTTTAAGGCTGCCTTGCCCTTGCGCCTAACACTCCCTTACCCACCAATCACCTATTACACCATTCATACCAACTCATGTTCCCAACATTCCCCATTGCTTCTCAGTTTCTCATCCTACCTCTATAGCCAGTCATCCAGTATCTACAATGGGCAGACCTCAGAAGCAATGTGGAGATGTAGAATAAACCTTCAGTAATCTAGAACATAGGAGCAGGAGTAGGCCATTCAGCCCCTTGAGCCTGCTCTGCCACTCCATAAGATCATGGCTGATCTGTGGCCTAACTCTATATGCCTGCTTCGGGCGTATCCCTTGATATCCTTGCTTAATAAAAAAGTTGTCTATCTCAGATTTAAATTTAACAATTGAATTAGCATTGACTGCCATTTGAGGAAGAGAGTCCCAAATCTCCATTATACTTTGCATGTAGAAGTGCTTTCTCACATCACTCCTGAATGGCCTGTTCCTAATTCTTAGACTATGCCCCCAGTTCTAGAATCTTCAAACAGTGAAAATAGTTTGTTTCTCTACCTTGTTTTTCCCTATTAATAACCTGAAGATCTCAATTAGATCACCCCTTAACCTTCTAAATTCTAGACCATAAAGATCTAATTTGTTTAATCTCTCCTCATAACTTAACTCCTGAAATCCAGATACCATCCTTGTAAATATGCATTGAACTCCCTCCAGGACCAAAACCTCCTTCCCGTGCTCAGATCTGCTCTCAGTACTGTAACTGGGGTCTAACTAGGGTTTTGTATAACTGCAGCATAATGTCTGCATCCCTGTATTCCAACTCTTTAGATATGATGGCCAGCATTCCCTTAGCCTTCTTGACTATTATCTGCACCTGTTAGTGGCTGTTTAAAGAGCTATGCACCTGAACTCCCCAAACTCAATGGACATCCACGACATTTAACTTTGTGCATTCTAAAAAAAAAACCTCCTCTATCCCTTTTTGTCCAAAAAAGATAACCTCGCACTTGCTCACTAAAATCCATCTAGCCATCTTTGCCCATTTGCCTAAACTGTCGACAAGCTGTTATAATTTTATGCTGTCATCAACATTGTCTGCAATGCAGCCCAATTTGGTGTTATCAGCAGATTTGGATATTTGACTTCTTATGCCGTTATCCAAGTCATTGTTGAATTTGTGAATAATTGAGGCCCCAGTACAGATCCCTGCAGGACACCACTGATCATGTCCTGCCAATTTGAATAGCTATCCATTATTCCAATTTTCTGTTTCTTGCCATTCAACCAATTTCCTGTACATGTTAATAATTTACCCTCAATTCCATGGGCTTCCACCTTGTCTAACAGTCTTCTGGAAATCCATATAAGCAACATCCATAGACTTGGCTCTGTCCGTCTCTTTGTGATCTATTCAAAAACCTCTGAGGTTTGTCAGGCATGACCTACCCTGCATGAATCTATGCTGACTCTGCCTGATGAGCTGAAATTTTTCGAGGTGATCATTTACCCTATCCTTGATTGCAGACTCCAACAGCTTCCCTAGCAGATGTTAGGCTAACTGGTCTGTAATTCCCTGGTTTTCCTCTTTCACCTTTCTTAATGAGCATAGTGATATGAGCAAATTTCCAATCCGGAGGTACAACTCCTGAATCCAGGGAGGTCTGAAAGATTATGGTTAGGGCATTGGCAATGTGCTCTCCTACCTCCTTTATTCACAGTGGATAGAAACCATCAGGCCCTGGGGATTTGCCACTCTTCAGTTCCATTAATTTACCCATTATTGATAGCAGCTCTAACACTTGCATGCATGATACTCAAAAAGCATATTTAGATCTGTTGAATAGTTAATCCTAAATGAAAAAAGCAAACTGATGTGACTGTAGCAAGGCTGCCTATGTGTGGAACCACAGGAGATGGGGGAGATGCTAAATGAGTATTTTACATCAGTGTTAACTGTGCAAAAGGATATGGAAGCTAGAGAACTTGGGGAGATAAATAGCTACATCTTGAAAAATGTCCATACTACAGAGGAGTAAGTGCTGGTTGTCACATAAAGGTGGATAAATCCCCAGGACCTGATCAGGTGTAACGTAGAAGTTTGTGGAAAGCTAGGGAAGTGATTCCTGGGCCCTTTGCTGAGATATTTCTATTATCAGTAGCCACAGGTGAGGTGCCAGAAGACTGGAGGTTGGCCAACATGGTGCCACGATTTAACAAAGGTGGAAAGGAAAAGCCAGGGAGCTATAGACTGATGAGTGTGACATTGGTGGTGGGCAAGTTGTTGGAAATCTGAGGGAAAAGATTTACATGTAATTGGAAAGGTAAGGATGGATTAGGATAGTCACATTGGCTTTCTGTGTGGGAAATCGTGTCTCATTAACTTGCTTGAGTTTTTTTGAAGAAGTAACAAAGTAGATTGATGAAGGCAGACAGTGGACATGATCTACATGGACTTCAGCAAGATGTTCAACAAGGTTCGGCATGGTAGACGGGTTAGATTACATGTAATACAGGGAGAACTAGCTATTTGGATACAGAAGTGGCTTGAAGGTAGGAGACAGAGGGTGGTGGTGGAGGGTTGCTTTTCAGACTGGAGGCCTGTGACCAGCAGTGTGCCACAAAGATCGATGCTGAGTCTACTGCTTTTTGTCATTTATATAAATGATTTGGGTGTGGATATAGGCGGTATAGTTAGTAAGTTTGCAGATTACACCAAAATTGGTGGTGTAGCAGACAGCAAAGAAGGTTATCTCAAGGTACAACAGGACCTTGATCAGCGATGGGCCAAGGATTGGCAGATGGAGTTTAATTTAGATAAATGTGAGGTGCTGCTGAACAAAGAGACCTTGGAGTGCAGATTCGTAGTTCCTTGAAAGTAGGGTCGCAGGTAGACAGGATAGTGAAGAAGGTGTTTGGTATGCTTGCCTTTATTGGTCAATGCATTGAGTGTAGGAGTTGGGAGGTCATGTTGCGGCTGTACAGGACATTGTTTAGGCCACTTTTGGAATACTGTATTCAATTCAGGTCTCCCTTCTTTAGGAAGGACGTTGTGAAACTTGAAAGGGTTCAGAAAAGATATACAATGATGTTGCCCGGGTTGGAGGGTTTGAGCTATTGGGAGAAGCTGAATAGGCTAGGGCTGTCTGCCTTGGAGCATCGGGGTCTGAGGGGTGACCTAATAAAAGTTTATAAAATTATGAAGATCGTTGATGGGGTGAATAGCCAAGATCTTTTCCCCCAGGGTAGGGGAATTTAAAACTAGAGGGCATAGGTTTAAGGTGAGAGGGGAGAGATTTGAAAGGGACCTAAGGAGCAACTTTTTCATGCAGAGGTTGGTGTGTGTATGGAATGAGCTGCCAGAGGAAGTGGTGGAGGCTGGTAAAATTACAACATTTAAGAAGTATCTGGATGGGTACAGAGTAGGAATGGTTTAGAGGGATATGGGCCAAATGCTGACAAATGGGACTAGATTAATTTAGGATATCTGGTCAGCATGGATGAGTTGGACTGAAAGGTCTGTTTCCATTCAGTATAACTCTATGATTCCATGACTATGACTATTGACTATTAATCCTTTAGTAATCTCCCTATGTTGTCAATCAAATTATGAACACTCAACCCATGCTGAATTAGTTGTAGGTTTTGAAACTCAGCCAAGCTTCTATATGACATGATAGTACCAGGGAAAGTTGACACAGATCTCTCTTGAAACTGCACAACCAGATGCTATTTTTATTTCTAACCCATACCTGGAAACACTCCATAATAAAAGCCATAGTCTTTTTGTTACAAAGTTTGAAGCGCAGGACTTCCGAAAAGCGCTAGGTCATTACAGATATTTATATATGCAGTTTTCAAAGAGCCCAGCAGAGTTCATTTTCTCAGCTATTGTGATTCATGGAATATTGTCTTTGCCCAATGGCAATAATTTGACCTTGGAAATCTAGATGTGAAATATCTGTATCCACAGAACACATCTTATTTTTAAGGATCCATGGTATCTTCCCAACTCCATGGATAGCCAGTCACAATTTTCACCACCTCTCAATGGTCAAATCATAAATATTTAAGTCTTTGGATATTTTTGGTCTGAGATACATAATTTCCTTAACTATTATACTTATGATTTACTGTGTACAATTGAAATAAATTAAGATTATTCATTATGCTTTTCCACTATTTTTGCAGAAGCCAGAAGTATCATAGTGATGGAAATATTATCACCATGGTGATTGATAAATATATTTATCTGGCAAAGAAGGACAGCCATGTTGTTGAACTTTGGGACAAAAAATTATACAAAATGAGTATGTCAATTGATTGTGCTTCTATTCTTAAGTAAGTATTTAATTGATTTCAATTAGTTTCTCCTCTAACATTTTGAAATATGTTCTGGCAATAGCTGAAATGCAAGTGCCCTTCAATTATGATGTAGAAGTGGGTTTTCAATTCATTCATGGATCATGGGCACTGTTGGTAAGGCCAGCATTCGTTACTAATCCCCATTTATATTGAGAAGTTAGTGGTAAGCCACCTCCTTTAACGAATACAATTGTATGATGAAAATGGCTGTTCATTCCTGGATCTTTTTCTAGCAACCAGTGCTGCAGTTAATGCTCACAAACTTCTTTTTAGAATTATATTGTGTAGGTTGAAGGGATGATTTTTAAATTACAGAAACAGTTTGTAAAATTTATCTTGCTATTCTGATGTCACAGCTTTACATCAAATAAGAATAAACTGGTAAGTCATAGAGTCATACAGCATGGAAACAGACCCTTCGGTCTGACTCATCTGTGCTGACCAGACGTCCCAATCTGATCTAGTCCTATTTGCCAGCATTTGGCCCTTATCACTCTAAACCCTTCCTAATCATGTACTCATCCAGATGGCTTTTAAATGTTGTAATTGTACCTGCCTCCACCCAGTTCCTCTGGCAGCTCATCCATACATGGACCACTCTTTGTGTGAAAAGGTTGCCGAACGGGTCCTTTTTCAGATCTTTCCCCTTATACCTTAAATCTGTGTCCTCTAGTTTTGGACTTGCCCACCCTAGAGAAAAGAGCTCTATTGGCACTTGGCTATTCACTCTATCCATGCCCCTCATGATTTTATAAACCTCTATAAAGTCACCTCTTGGCCTCTGACATTCCAGGGAAAATAGCACCAGCCTATTCAGCCTCTCCCTACAACTCAAATACTCTGGTCCTGGCAACACCTGGTCCGTTTCTGCACTCTCTTAACTTTAACAACATCTTTCCAATAGAAGGTTGACCGGAATTGTATGCAGTATTCTAAAAGTGGCTTCTCTAATGTCGTGTACAGCTGCAACATGACATCCTAACTCCTGTACTCGATGCACTGATCAATGAAGGCAAGCGTGCCAAACACCACCTTCACCACCTTGTTTACCTGTGACTCCACTTTCAAGGAACTATGCATCTGCACTCCTAAGTCTCTTTTTCAGCAACGCTCCCCAGGGCCCTACCATTAACTGTGTAAGTCCTGCCCTGGTTTGCCTTCCCAAAGTACAACACCTCACATTTATTTAAATTAAACTCCATTTGCCACTCCTCAGCCCACTGGCTCATTTGATCAAGATCCTGTTGTATTCTGTGAAGATCTACTTCACAGTCCATGACACCATCAATTTTGGTGTCATCTGCAAACTTACTAACCATACCTGTTATACACACGTCCAAATCATTTACATAAATGATGAAAGCAGTGGACCCAGCACCAATCCTTGCGGTGAACTGCTGGTCACAGGCCTCCGGTCCGAAAAGCAATCCTCTACCACGACCTTCTGTCTCCCACCTTCAAGCCAATTTTGTATCCACTTGTCTGGCTTCCTTGGATCCCATGTGACCTAATCTTACGAACCAGTCTATCATGTGGAACCTTGTCGAACGTTTTGCTGAAGTCCATGTAGACAACATGTACTGCTGTACCTTCATCAATCTTCTTTTTCACCTCCTCAAAAAATTCAATCAGTTTTGTGAGACATGATTTCCCATGCACAAAGCCATGTTGATAATCCCTAATCAGTCCTTGCCTTTTCAAATGTATGTATTCAAATGTATCCAAATGTAAATCCTGTCCCTCAGAATCCCTTCCATCAATTTACCCACCACTGATGTCAGGCTCACCAGTCTATAGTTCCCTGGCTTTTCCTTACAGTCTGTCTTAAATAATAGCACCACGTTAGCCAGCCTCCAGTCATCCCAGAAAGGGGCCAGCAATCTCCACCCTAGCCTCCCATAAATTTCTGGGAAACACCTGATCTGGTCCTGGGTGTTTATTTACCTTTATGCATTTTAAGACCTCTTGTACCTCCTGTAGTATGAGCTCTTTCATACCCATCATGGGCAATGGGTAGAAAATCTCGTACAAATCATTGTTTCCTATAACTTACTTACACTGTTTATGTTATAGGGTTTATTGCTCTGCTGCAGTCCATTTCACATTGCTTATTAGCAGGTTGCTTTTGCCCACTTTCTATATTTTGGTGGAGAGGATATTTTGTAGAAGTATACCAAAATTGAAACTCTCAAAGTATGAGCGCTGGTAGAAGAGCTGAATGCAAAGGATCAAAATAACATGGTTTTATTTAGAATCTTGTCTTCAGAACCACAATGGTCGGTAGTTTTATTATTTTTCAGTTCATTATTTTAACTTGCATTAATTTAATCAGATGCTCCAAAAAAGTGAATGCATTATCTTGTTTTGCAATGCATTTACGAAAGAAAATTTTGTTTTCCTAGGAATGAGACATACTCAGCCAGAGTGAAAGCACTTTATCTTCAGAAGACAAGCACCCTTTGGATTGGAACAGGAGGAGGTGATGTCGTATTATTAGATCTTTCCACTCATCAACCCATTTGGGTCATTGAGAAATTTTGTCATTCTATCAGAAGTATGGTGCCAGCACAAATTGGTAAGGTTTTGAGCCTTGATTTCAAAGATCGAATCATGGATTACTTCAAAGTATTTTACAAATAACTGCTTAAATTAAAAAAAACTGTAATGCAACTTTTTTTTTAAACTTTGGAACATTTGCTTTTATTTTCAAAAAGTTATTGTAAAATAATAGTTGTCACAATAGGTGAAAAAACTAGGACTAGTGAAGTGTGTCTCACGTTTTCCAGGGTGAACACGACCTGCAACTAATTTTTAGTGAACAAGACTGTATGGTGGGGCATAACATTACTTACTGTTGCAGTGCCCTCAATTATTTATATTTTGTTAGGTTAACAGTTGTATTTTTATATGCCCCTGGAATCTGTGCTCTGCTCTTACTATGTAATAGAATAGATGCTTTTGTGAAAGAATAATCATGGATCTCTGCTGGAAGTTCTTCTGCTAGTGATACTTCTGTTTCCTCCAAGAGTTACATTGATATTTACTTAGATTGGGGTCATTTATACATTTGGACATAGGAGCTTACAACAGAAAATACCAAGAGAAGCTTATGCAGATTTTGAATGAATAAATGTCATTTTTGTATTGCAAATTAATGTATTGCTTTTAATAATAGATCGAGATTCTTTAATACTTTTATTCCTGCTAAGCACATTTCTTTAATTCTGTGTTTTAGAGAAGGGACACCTTCGTACTGTCATGCTGATCCTAGGAAATGTCTGTATAGATTACAATGAAAACGACAAACAGCAGAGCGGTATGGTTAATTTTCTGAATATTTTGTTGTAATTGTTTGAAAAATAAACAAAGTTATACATTTAATAAATAAATTTTGGCTGTGTATTACAGTTGTGTAATTAAGTGAAGATTTTCATCTGAATTATTGCATTAGTTTTCACAGTTAATTGTTTTAAAAAAAGAAAAAACAAGCTATTGATTCCACATAACCAAGTGCGTACTTTCAATGTTTTATTTATTGCATGGTATAATGCAACTTCATCTGGTGAAAAGGTTAAATCTTTCTCACGCTTAAACTCTCTCACCTTGTTTCTTGAAATTAATAGTTGAAATTTCATGTTACAGAATTGCAATCACAGCTATTTGTTTGGGACTTGAATCTTCCATATGAGATCCAGAGCCTGAAGAAGCACACAGATATGAGAAGAGAAATAACTGAAAAAATGAGATTGGGTTCTTTGGAATGAGTGCACATGGACAAATACATATGTACATGTTTTCTTTATTAATTTAAAGTTTTGGGTTTATTGAAGATACAAAGTGGTAAACCTAGCATTCACAAAAGAGTTTTAAAATCTGGGATATTGCACATAAAGGAGTCAAAATTCCTCCTGTACATAACCTCCTGAGGAACCTCGCTACATGGAGATTGAAACTAGTCATATATTTTTGTTACTTGACATGAGATTAGTTTAAATCTTTAGATCCCTGATGTTTTGCACTTGTAATATTGCAATAATATAAATAAATTTACAGTTTACATACTAACCTGACTGTGTAGTGTGTTACTGGGAATGTTCTGAAGTTAATGATTAATAAATACATCATTAACCATATTGGAAGTTAAGTGCTGACAGACGCAATATCAATTATCTTGTACTAAGACCAAACCCAGTAGGAGGTTGCCAAGGTGGAATTTGTGCCCACCCAATTGGTTCAGTGTTGATACCTCAGGAGTCTCTAGAGTTTGGAGAATTTCAATAAACTGTGAATGTTCCTAATCAGTTATTGGGGATGATGTGTGGAGCTCAAACTAGGTAATCATGTCCTCAAAAAACTCATCAGAAAAATGGCAGTCTTTTAAAATAAACAGTGAGAAACTCTTGACAGGCAAATATTGTGGTTGCCTTTAAAATGACTGTAAATGAAATGTATCTGTGTTACCTCCACACAGACACATTCGCAGCGAAAACATAGCTGGTAATGCCTGGTGACTAATACAATAAAAGGAAGTTTAAGTGCTGGTAATTGAATTTTTAAACATTGGATATTGTATGTAAAGGAGCCAAAATAACTCCTGTACTTACCTTTTGTGGCATTTGAGCCCCTGTTTAATGACTGTGTTAAATGAAAGTACTATTTCAGGAAGTACGTGAACTGAGGAATTATCTGTTTGCTACTCCAGGATGTTTTCTGCACTGTTTCTGATAAGAGGTATACACACTAATCACAGAATCTAGGAATAAAGATTGGAAGGGGACACCTTCTAAACGTTGCTATAATTATGCTAATAACCATGCCATTTCTCAAGTGTTTGTGCAAATGGAACTGGCCCATACCAGCTCTCTCAGAACTTTGTATTCTAATCATGCAAAAGCTTAAGGCACATATTTTCATTGTAAACCAATGCAATATACATGACACATCATTACACAAAAAGGATTCTATACATAAAACACAACCTAGCCTTATGATATTTGTGGTAAGTTTTCCTTTTGAAATGTCTTTTACTATATATGTGCCCCTTCAATTTACAGCACACAAAAAATACTCTGGTTGCTTAGAAAAATTATACGTCATACAAGGGAACCACCACAAACAGGAGGAAGCTATGGATATTGTACGGCCATAACCCTATTGAGAAGGTTCACCCTCCATAATATTTTTGAGAATTGCATTCCTTAATGGTCACAGGTATGCAAATACCATACATTGTTAGCAAATAGCAACATCAAATCTGTTATAGAGAGATAACAAGGTGTAGAGCTGGATGAACACAGCAGGCCAAGCAGCATCAGAGGATCAGGGAGGCTGACCTTTCGGGCCTAGACCCTTCTAGAGGAGCCATTGTAACATTAATGACAGTTACCATTTTAGGCCTGGGGCAGCATCCTGCAGTAGTGCAGGTGGGCCATGACAAGACACCAGTCTCTGTTACTTTTAACGTTGTTTGCAAGGATCATCCCAGCAGCACATTGTCCTGAAGTATGCATTTCATGGGGTTGAGGAGCTAGCTGCTGGTAAGTCACAGGTGAAGAAGACCTGATGATGGTGGGAGTGAAAAGACAATATCATTGTGCATGGTGACAAATAAGCTTTGTACTTTGGGAAGTAGCATTGCAGTAAAGAGGAAAAAGTGGACAACATGATAGCTTGTGGTACAGATATTGCCAATGCTGGATTGTAAGGATGCAAAGCTGCAAAATTGAATGCACAGCTCATGCAATCTGAAAAGTAATGTCAGAACCAACGCTATTGTGCTGGTTAGCTGTATCAGTGAGTCTTGCTCACCAATTGGTCTCCCCTTGATGCATTTCCTAACTAGCCAATTCCACAGTCATTGCTGGGTAAACGTGTCTGATTCTACAGATACGGTTAGGGACATCATGGCAGGTATAAACAGTCTGGCTGCTTTACCTTTTGTGAACCTTTGTTGTACACTGCACCCTGAGATATTGTGATTAAGAGGGAGGAAGTGGATTACCAAATATCTGCCTGCGTAAGATAACAGACTTAACCGAAGGGTATTTTAACTAATAGGTTTTAGGAAGTTGAATCTTTAGGTGCCATAAATATTGACAATGTGGGAGACTGGTTACACCTCATACCACCTTTAAAGATCTTTCTGTTCCTTCTGATTGCACAAGAAATTCTTTCCAACAACACAGTTTCTTAATAATGCTAAATGACCTTTCCTACTGAAATGCCATGGCATAGTTGAGCAAGTGATATGGTGGATAGGGTTGCATTTTCAACTGAGACCAGACAAGACTGTTAATCTCATTAGTGGTGGAAATAACATTTAGTAAAACATCCTCATCCTTCAAATAGTGCATTGCTTTTGTCAATATGATGCCAATACATTGTTAAAAATCTGTCTGCTTTAAATTCCAATCAACTATCATATGACACCTGGAAAAGCATTTAATTTATGAATACATTTTAGCAATATATGTTAATAATATTGTGATGAAGCATTGACAATAGAAATACTGTCATCACATGCAGAGGAACCATACTTAATCGAATTGTGATGCAAAACATGGCTAATGCCTCCCATTCTTTAATTATGTAGGGTTTATGTCTAATTGCATCATAGATAACATAACTTATGAAGGGACATAATTTAAAAGGTTGTTCCTCTCTCTCATCATTAAAATAGACAATATGGGTGCTGGTAAAATACACTTGGTTAGGGCTAGTTTTGTGAATGTTTGTATCATTGAGTAGTAACTTCCTCCAAATGCAAGTCCCCCTGCTATGCTACAAAATAATGTTTCAAAAGTAAGGACATGGAAGGGGCCTACTAGACCTTCTAGCCATTGTTCACAATCCCCTTCCTGGTGGGTCTTGGTTATTGTTATACAGCCATTTGCCTAAAAACATGGGTGTCCACAGCATGTCCCCAAGCAGATGGGGTATTTGTGGCTGTGTATTATTTAAAACCCAAAAGGCGGTGGTTAGATTGTCTCTTATTGGAGGTTGCCTGGCATTTATGTGGCATGACTGTTACTTGCCACTTATCAGCCAAGACTGGATATTGCCCAGATCATGTTGCATTTGAACATGGATAACACCGTGTGAAGCTGGAGGAACACAGCAGGCCACGCAGCATCAGAGGAGCAGGGAAGTTGAGGTTTCGGGTCGGGACCCTTTTTCAGAAATGGGGGAAGGGTAAGGGAGCTCAGAAATAAATAGAGAGAGGAGGGGTGGGGCTGGGGAAGGTAGGTGGGATGAGGATAAGTGAGTGGAGGTAGGGAGTGGTGGTGATTGGTCAGTGAGGTGTGAGATGTGGATAGGTGAGAGAGAAGATGGACTGCTTCAGTATCTGAGGAGTCGCAAATAGTGCTAATCATTGGTGAACATCTTCACTTCAGATCTTATTATGGAGGGAAGGTCATTGATGAAGCAGCTGAAGATGATTGGACCAAGAACATTTTGACATAATAGCCAATCACCCTTTAAATTTCACTTCCCTTTCACTAAAAGCGCTTTCATTGTTTTAAGTCAGCTTCTCCATCAATCATGTCTCAGTGCCTAATCATTTAAGCTGTATTTTTTGTGCTCTTACCAGACCAGAATAATTATTTGTCAAGTAGATGTACATGTCTGAGTCCTACTCTTCAGTGCATTTTCACCATATATTCTCTCATATTTGTTACTTCAGATGTAGCAATCACTGTTGGACACTTCTGTTTGGTATCCCAAGATCATCCCATTCATTCTTGACTTTCAGCTGATCTTTCGAAAGATCAAAAGTTGGTGGAGAGTGCCCGTATATCCTCCTTGTCTGGTCCCAGTGTTCCGGGTGGTGGCCAAATCATCCAATTCAATTTCGTTTTTAAAAAACGAGACTGACAGGCAAGCATGCACATATCTACAAGAGAAAACTGTTAATTTTCTGATGAAGGGTCTAGGCCCGAAACGTCAGCCTCTCTGCTCCTATGATGCTGCTTGGCCTGCTGTGTTCATCCAGCCCTGCACCTTGTTGTCTCGGATTCTCCAGCATCTGCAGTTCCTACTATCTCTGATTCTATTTACACTTTGATTTCATTGGATATATTCAATTTAACTACGCCCAAGGTGAGTCATTCCCATTTCCATTTGATGCTGTGTCACTTCTTATTCTTTTATTCTAACTCTTCCCCCATTAATTACCATTAGAATTGATTCAGGAACTCTGGAGAAAACTTTACTGCCCAGAGTAAACAAAAAACGTATTTTCACAATAGCTTTAAAAGACACAAACAAGTGTTATTGCAGTGTGGTTTCAAGCATTACCAAATTTCACTTGTTTGGTCTTTTTTAAAAAAAAAGTGTATATAAATTTCTCAAATGTAACTTTGCTAAATTATATTCAACGCTGCTTCTTTCAAAATTATTACAAATTCAAAAATTGACAACAACAGACTCAGAAATTTGTGTACAGCCTCTGCAGTATTGTTGGGCTGACAGGTTTTAGTGCTCAATCAATTTTTTTCTATCTCATGTTATTTTGATACAAATTAAAACCACCTAAACTGTTTCCATCAGAACTTGCTTTAAAGTAAAATGTAAAGATTTAAATTTATTTGGCCCTTAAAATTCAAGAGTATCTTCCATAGCTTGCTTGAACTAACAAATTCCATTAAGTAATTTTCGATTCTTCCCAGTTTCAGAAACAATTATATCCACTCTTGATGGTTTTAAGCAATGCTCTTACTTTAGAGATTCCACTGATTGTGGTCAGTTCAGGGTTCCCCTGTTTTCAAAGACTTTGTCTTTGCAGACTTCCAGCCCCTTCACTGTGTTCTTGCAACCTGTTCAAAAAACATGAAAAAACAAAATCCACTGTGATTCTGGAAGAAGTCCGGTGGGTTAATAATGTAAAAAAAACAACACATCTCACCCCACTGAAGGTGTGTGAGAAGATGTAAAACTGTCAGTAGAAAAAGTTAACTCTGCTGGTCTCGGAAGGGACAGGGCCCAACTAACCAGGTGACATTATGTTGTAATTTCACGTATTCAGTTTAAAAAATCTGTCAAAAGTCTTCTGGTAATCTCAAAGC